CCCATGTCTGCACTGACGCGGCATAAAATCATAGAAATGTAGGGTTGGAAGATGCACCAAATGTCATCTAGTCCAACCTCCTGCAGTGCAGGAATCACAATAAATGACTGTGGCCATCCAACCTCTGCTTCAAAACCTCCAAGGAAGGAGAGTCCATAACTTCCCAAGGGAGTCCTTTCCCCAGCTCTAACTGTTGGAAAGTTCCTCAAGTTTAGTCAGAATCTCCTTTCTTGAATCTGTTGGTTCCAGTCCTACCCTCTAGAGCAGGAGAAAACAAGCTTCCTCCCTCCTCCATGTGACAGCCCTTAAGATATTTTAAGATGTCTCTCATATCCCTTCTCAGCCTCCTCTTCTCCAGGCTAAACCTGCTCCCTCACAAGGCTTGGTCTCCAGACCCGCTATCATCTTGGTGGCCCTTCTCTGTATCATCTTTCTCTCACTGCTCTTCCTTATTTTCCTTCTGTAAACTGTAGCATTGTAAGAAAAGGAATGATTTACAGAAGGAAAATAAGGAATGTTAAAACTCCAATTAAAATTATATGGGGGGGCGAGGAGGAATTCTGGGCTGGGTTGGGCTACAGAGTCCCTCTTGGGTCACTGGGCCAAGGGCAGTTGCATCCGGCGACCTCAGCGCTGACATCACAAATCACGGGTTCCACACCAGAAGGTTGTGTAGGGCCTCTGGGCTGGGGGAGGGAGGGGGTGTCGAGAAGAGGGACCCCACAGCTTGCGTGGTGACAGAGGAAAGAAGGCAGGACCACTTTGGAGTGCGATGAGAAGCCAAGCCTGACTTTGGTCTTTGCTTCTTGCTCTCAAATCTTGGCAGCATTATGGTCGAAAGCCAGAGAATCCCGGGGGTTGACCTCAGAGCCACTGAGCCCCAAGTTGTTCGGATCATCGTGAAGACTCCGTGGCAGAAGGAAGAGTTTCTGGTCCACAGGGAGATGTTGGTCCGAGAATTCAAAGAACACGTCGCCAGGCACTTCTCCTCTTCTCCTGACCAAGTTGTGCTGGTGTATGTCGGAAGGATCTTGAAAGACCACAAGACCCTTGGCCAGCATGGCATCCACCTAGACTACGACGCAACAGTCTACGTGGTCGTCCGGTCTCCCCGGGGGCGCCTGTCCCGACAGGCTTCCGCCAGCCCTACCAGCACTGCCCCAGATCAGAAGCCTCCTCGGGGAGACGCTTTTGCCAGCGATGGCCTCC